CATTTCAGATATTTGACTTTCCATGTATATCAACAGGCTTCTAAATAGTGCAGCGAGAATAGCTGACTCACGACTGTATTTGTAAGCACTTGAGTGGCCACTTTTTTTTAACCTATTGGCTATTTTTAGTGCACGGTGCAGATCAACTTGTGAGTACTGCTAATAAATAAAATAAGAGTACGGGGCCTAAGTGCATCCCAAACTCTGTCCCTCCACTGAGCTTCACCAAATCCTGATTTGACACTCTAATACAACACCCTGTTAACCCACATCTGGAATGGGGGCAATCAATGCCACTCCAGAACCGTGGCTGGGCGTGAGCAGGGGGACAAAGTGAGGACGGCTTTCAGTGCTGGCCAGTCAGTGACTCAATGACGCGTTCATGCATATTTCCTCTTGTCGTCTACCCTCATATTCCTCGTTCAGATCAACAACGTCGAATTCCGAGACAGGCTGAGTTGTTACATATTTGCTCTATGAAACAAAATCATCACAGGGAGCGGCCATGTGTGCATTACTCTTACAGGGAGTGTCTCCTCTCCAGTCCCTCAAGCTGTGTTTGTAGGTGCAGCTGCATTGCTCAAACCCTCTGAGAAAAAGAACAGCAAGCTACTTCAGTCGGGGTTTGAATGCTGTTACTTTACAGCAGTCAGGGCGAGCTCATTCACGATAACTGTGTCGGGACGATGTTGTTTCATACAAACAAGCTCAGAGAAAATCTGTTGTCAGTTTCTGGGCTGCAGAGCCCTCCTGAGTCCAGCCCTCTGACCAACATGTGTCAGGTGTAGAGTTAAAAAGGGGTCACAAAGCAAGGCATCAACTTCCTGACAAACACATAGATTATAGGAAGGGGGGGGGGGGGGTACTAGGAAAGACTGGAGAGAGTGGATTGGGTGAATGGTTCAACCTAGCTGACTGAACCGCAAAAAAAATAAATAATAGCTCAAAATTGAGTTGAGCAATATAACAGTAGGGAGAAACGTTTCCTGTCGGAGGCCGCATTCTACTGGAAACACCTCAAGGTGAAAGGCACCCAGTCGTCCTCCTACTCTTGGCAGAGAGCAAGGCTTTTTATTTTCTAAGTGAAACACGCACTTAAAGGCCACTTACCTGGAGGGACGATGCAACGAGCACACAGAGTGGGGGCGAGGAGAACAACGGAAACACAGAATGTGCTCTTAGTAAGAGTGTAACAACCTCTCAGACAAACACATGCATGAATCCGTTCGCCACACACAGAAGTTATCGTTGTCTTTTCACGGAGCAAATCTGCTAACTATAATTACAATAGATGCTCGATATTATGGCCGAGATACAACACTGCCCTCCAGAGGCTACAATCATTAGTTACACTAAATATCTACAGGACAGTAGACAATATGACAAACATAACAATACACCCACATGACTCCAGTAAGAATAAGTAACACAACTGCAACAAAAAGACTTCAGTACAACTTTGGGAGGAATGGTTTCAGTTTACTAAAGGTGTGCAAAAATGATATCAAATCCTCTGATATGAAAACACTTAAATAATACTAAAGCAAACTGTAATGACACATCACATGTGGAATTAACTCTCCATTGAATCAAAGTAAAAACAATGCAACA